CAAACAAGCCCTTTACTTTGTTGCAAAAGACAAGTGCAGCTATACGAGTCATCTGAAAGAAGAATTATAAAATGGTTAACTCCTTGACTTGTAACCCTTGATATTTTCCAAATCTCCACAATTGAGGTATATTCTAAATGTTCTAAAAGATACATAGTATACAAAACAATAGCATCAGGCTCGTCATCTATATCTTCACTTTGTGAAGATTCGTAAGAGGTAAGTGATTCGATTTCTTCAACTATAGCATGGCTAGCAGTGTAATATAAACTTTCCTTTATTTGTTCAACCAAAAAGTATGCAACATTTGGTCTCAGGTAACATTTAACTAAAGATTCAATAGAAAGAAAAATAGTAGTTGCATTTGTCATAGAAGGAACATCTCTTTTCTATTTCTCAAATTGCTTTCTTTTTTGTTTCTCTTTGCTACGTTTCATTAATACTTTACCTAAATCGCATAGTAACGTATTGCTATTCTCTAACACCCGATTGATGCATGCATTCTGACTTTCGACAAATGATGTAATTTGAATGCCAAGTATGAATATCATAGCAGTAAAGGCACGTACCCATAAAAAGCGTCTATTATAGAGATGGCACTCAAGGTATAATTTTGTAGCAGAAAAGCCTATAAGCTGGTTCCAATAGTATTCGAAAACATGTGGTGTATCTGCATTTTGGCATTGCCAAAACTTGCAATAAAATTCATCAAATTGATCTCCCAACTTCCTTCGTAATATTTTTTGATGTTTTCCTTGATATGCTAGATGCAAAAGAGGTGTTACGTCACTTGATACTCTAAAATTACTGCACATTCTATTGCTGGATCGCTATCAGTCACAAACACACGAGAACATCTATTATTTGTTGCTTTCTTGGTCATTTTAAGAACCCATTGGTATGTTTCAGTTGTCTTATTGCAGACAAAAGCCTGGGCAACAATATGAGACTACATGTTATCATCTTGTACTACAAATAAAGAAAGGGGCATATTGTATCTGTTAGTACTCGCGATATTATCATGTCCAACTGCCTTATTAAATTCACACTATAACATAATTTGTTCAGGACTCATCCAGAACAAATTAATCAAAGTATTAGTTTCCTCTTCCCACATAACCTCAACAAACCAACGAGAATCTTCCTGTTGTTTGGATAATAGTTGCTCATAAAACTGTGATGCGTCACATTTAATTGCACTATATGATGGTCGATACTGCTGTATCTCAACATAAAGATCTCTAGCAAATATAGGATGAGAAGAAAACTTCTCTTTTAAGATACGACGTATCATAGTTGCACCAAGACGACATTTAGTGACAAGAAAGTTAATTTCTTTCTGCATTTCTTCTGTGAACTGTTTATCTTTTTCAAACTGAATTGTTTCAGGTGATAAATCATGGTTATGATTATCATTTAAAGTGGTGACAAATACGCGGAAACCATTGTTATTCTTTGAAGGACGTGAAAGATTAACATGCTACTGGCACTGTATTCGAGCCAAAGTACTTGACTTCGCAGCATTTTTTGGTCTAAATAGACCTGAGTGTTTATAGAGAATTGTTCGTTTATGAACTTCCTTGCTATTTTCTGCCGTATTTATCATTTTTACGCGCCCAAGTTGTATTTTGAACCCTTTAGATTCAGAAAATCGACATATGTAAAATTCAGCTTCATCAAAGTCATCAAATGAATCACCTTTTTTCAAAGATACCGACTCTATATTGTTAGTTATATTACTAATGTCCTTATTACAGTAGAAAGATTTATCGAAATACTCTGTTATATCAAGGTCGTCTTTGCTATGATCCAGATCTATAATTACAATTGTCGTTTAAGTGGCTGTCTATAAAATGTTTTTAGCTTGTAAAAGAAACTGATTTATAAGCACAAGGTTAGTAACATGAAAAAACGTCATAGTGACAAGCTATTTAAAATCCAGATAAGCGAACCTCAAAAGATCATAACCCTATCAGAATGCTAATTCATTCTGGGTTATGAACTTTTAAGGCTAGTATCAAACCCATGATATTCTTGACATATAGTATAAATGTTCTTGTTTTGAACAGTTGAAAGAAGTTACTGTTAGTCGTGACATAAGGTTGCTGTAGATAACAAAATTGAGGTAAGATGTATATTTATTTAATATACAACGAAGTAAATTAAATACGTATAAATGATCGAATGCGTAACTAATAAACATATGGGCTGATTTGGGGGTTTGAAATATTGATCATGCATAACTCATCTGACTAGGGGTGCACCATGGTGTGCGGTGCACCAAAATATAAATTTTATATTTAATTATAATTAATATACTTAAATTAATTCTAATATTTTAAATTTAATTAATTAGGATAAGTTAGCAACAG